CCCCAAAACCCCAAAACCCCAAAACCCCGTGAGTTTATAAAATAATTGAAGGCATTTATAGTAGAGCAAACAAAGTAAGTATAAAGAGTAATGGCAAGAGCAGGAACAGTGGATGAGGCTACTGTAGTATAATCGTATATGAAATAAATTATCAAGAATGCAGTATGAGAGAGTTTTCTAAATAAAAATACCTATTTACCTTTTGATCTTACCATTTATCTACATATTTTAATCTTTATCTCACTATAATACCTCTCCAGTGCCTACCCACTCACACCTCTCCTCCCCATTGTCAGCCCATCAAAGGCAGCCTCCTCTGCTCCTGTCTGCTCTACAGAAGCTCAGCTTGGAGTATCTCTAAATTTTAATCTAAAAAGACTCAAGTTTATAAAATAACACAATAAACTGACTAAATTTAGAAAAGACCAAGCACTAGTCAAACACTTTAGAATTAACTTTAACTGCACCTCCATTTGCTCTTAACTAAATGACCCTAAAAAAGCTTGCTTAGCTCTTTAAACTCAATTGTTGCTAATCGTAAACCATTTACTGACTCACAGTTTCTGTTCACTTTGATGAATCAAAAACTAGTATTTACGTTTCCACAAGTTTTGGTCTGCGTTTGTTTTTAGGAAGCTGAATTCTCTATGGAAATAATTAGACTAAGCTCAGAAATCTGATAGACTTTAAGAGTACGGGCTTATATGTATGATAGCATTAAGGTCATAGGCTTTTATTTAGCTGGTTAATATAAAAGATCACCTCTTGATGATAATATTTCTTTAGTATCTTAAGAGCCTTAGTGTCTTTTGATTATTCGCTTCAACTGAACTATAAGTTCTTGATGATAGAGTTTGTCACTTTCTAGTATACCTAAACCTTCTAAAGTATTTATCTACCCTTTTTGTTCGACATCTTGTCTCTTTTGAACAGCAATCGCTTTTGAGCCTGTATAAAATTTTATCTCTCTCGACCTTAATGAATTTATGCAGTTTTCTTGTTATCTATTTCTTCTATCATAATATTCCTGTGTATCCTTTATAGACCTACTTCTTCTGAATTTCAATTAAAAAGGAATTTATATACCCACAGCGATGATGTCCCTCAGAACCATCATATTTCCCAGATTTCACCTGAGGGTTCCTTTAGCTTACTCTTCCTCTTTTCAGAATTTTAGGTTTGCCATGATAACTGCATAGTTCTCGGTGAGTTAAAACAGTTTCTAACTTTTCTTCCCTAGTAATATGAATAGGCCTGAATTTTTAAGACATTTTAACAATATTTTAGAAATATGAGTTTATTTTAGAAAACAGCCTGGTTTATACCAGACTGTTAAACTTTGAGGATCTAATCATGCAAGAAATTTGAAAAAGTAGCCAACGATAAATTTCGTATAATAGCTAAACCGAACCTATTTTTATAATTCTGTTTCACCGTAAACTCATTAAATTTAGAACATGCTGTATTTACTTACCAAGGATATCGAGAAATCCCCCAATAGACGTAAACATACAAGAGAGGGATTAAGACAAAACAAAGAGATAACTAATCAAGAAAATAAGAATTACTTTAGTTCTGATACACTTCAGAGAAATACTAAATCTGGTTCTAAATTAAAAATTTCTCAAGCTAGAGTTGCAAAAAATTTGAAGAATAATACTAAAAATAAAACTGCCCTTGATCTCATAATTCAAAGACAAAGCAGAAGAAACCTGCCAATAATGAGGAAATCCATTAATTTGAAACTTCAAGTCAATCATATACGAGATCTAATCTCCCCTGCGCCAGTGGTTATGAAGGGAAGAACAAAAACCCGAAAATTGCTAAAGAATACTTTCACTCACATAAAGAAGTTAGTTAGAAAGAAGAGTAGTTGTATCAACAAACGGATGGCTAAAACTCAAGTTTGATCCAACAAAGCCAATAAGAGGTGCAAATTTCAGCCACAAAAATCATCAACTAAAAAGTTAACAAGCATCCTTGATGTCATTGCTAGAACTTCAAACAGTGCAAACACAAGTGCTAAATCTTCAAGAAAGGGATGAAATGAGAAAGAGAAGCCAAATCTGTTAAAAACCAGAACATCAAACCTCTTTTACAAGAGTCTGAATAAGAACATAAAGACGATTCAGGATAAGTATTTTTACTTGGGCAACCAATATGAGAAGTCTTCTCGTAAATCACCTGAGAAGGATTCAACATCTTCCCTGGAAAATCTTGGAAAAGGCTTAGTAGTTATAGTAAGTAAAGAAGATAGTATCCCAAAGAGTAGCAGATTGGTCAATACTTCTAGAGAAAATGGTTCACAGTTGACTCACTCAAAGACAAATAGTAAGGACGTTAGTAGGGTTCTCACCGGAGATGAAGATACTCCTAATATTTCGAAAAACCTCTCTGTCCTATGAAACAGAAGCAAAAATTCTGCTTCATTCACAATGGCTCTTGGTTCGGAAGACATTTCTAACTGTTCTGGATCTCCTATATCAGGAAGAGTAAACAAAGATGCCATCAGGAAAGGATCAAATGATATTTGCCCAATAGATGAGTTCAAGTAAACCCTAAAATTTAATCTATTAGACTAATTCCAACAAATCCTAAGCAAGTAAATCCTAGGAAGAAGGAAACAGCAGCTGGACTTTCTTCAGAAAACTCAAGTGAGCCCCATTCAAACAGACATATGATCTTTCAAAAGAGGAAAAGTGACTACAATAACCTCAAAGTAAGACTTGGAGACAAGGAAAGACGTCAGAGAAGGAAAATTCTCAGAAAACCAAGCTCATTTAGTCAAGTTGAATATTTAGAAACCACAAAAAAATTTAAGCAAAGGGGAGAGGTTGAGACATTAGAATCTTGAAATTCTAGCGAAGAAAATACTACTATGATGCCAAAACTGTCAGAGAGTAAGATCCTTTCATAGTTCTAACAATTTTAGAATCAGGAATGCTTAGTACATTCTGCAAAAAGAACTCAGAATCTAGAAGAAAATTGAGTGGACACGATACAGTTAAAATGAGCCCTCTACAATGGCATGAGCGATTATTTAAATAGTGGGCAAAAAGATACTGTCTCAAAGACTCCATGAGATAAAGGCGTGTTAAACATGATCAGTGGGGACTCTTCAAGCAACTGAAAGTATAAGAGTCCTAAACCACCCATGAAGGAGAAGTTATCATTTACGAGCTTCCTAAAAGTTGAACCACATATTGCTTACCAGACTCCTATCCACAATTGTGAAAAATACAGCAAAATAAATAGTTTCAAGCATGCCCCGAACTATCCAAAGCTTTATCAGGGATCTAAAGATGAGAGCACTCCTAATAGCTGGAAAATAGAAGATTTCTCCTCAGCATTAGAAAAAGAGTTCGCCCTCCGACAGTCAAATATACTAAATACATCTAAACTCAACATAATAGGTTCTTCTATTAGTAAAGAAGTTGCTAATCAGGATGAAAGATATATAATCGCTTCTCGTCATAGCAGAGCAAGTTTCCATGCTCCAAGAGTCAATCCAATAGAGTCATCCAGCAAATGCAAACAAGTTGAAGGTGGCACCTGCCAAAAGCCTCATATAAATCTACTTTCAAACACTCAGAACAGTAAAAAAGGTAAGCTCTTGACTTGAATAATACCCTTCCTACCAAATTACGTTAATTAAATACTTTTCTTACAGATTCGTTGAATATTTTTGCATCAAGAAGTCCAAGAACTCAGAAAAACATAAGGCCAAAATACAAGAAATCAAAGAAATTTTATACCAAAACTAATCTGGATTTCTCTAAGGCCAATATAATGAGCGACATTTAAGTACCAGTAATTTGACCTATAAATTTTATGTGATTGAACTCGAGTTTTCAATATGGATGATGTGTAAAGGGGTTTTGGGGTTTTGGGGTTTTGGGG